TGGTGTCTACAGGGAATTGGAGAATTGCTTGTTATGAAAAATACGTACACTTGGTCTCAGAACGTCAGAAGTGTTGTGAGGGTAAAGGAGGTGTTTTTTTGTTTTTTTTTTTTCATTTAGTTTGCTAAATAGATGCTGCCCAGAGTCTCCCTAGTGTTTGCCCTACACCAACCCCACCTCCTGCCATTCCCGAAGGAACCCCTGAGTCTTCTCATAGTTTAGTAACTAAAAGATGAATGCCCAGCTAAATGAGGGGACTTAGCAACAGCCCTAGCCTTGACGCCAGTGTCCATCCTGACTCGTGGATGCCAAACTCCCACCAATTATCTCAAGTATGAAATGTTTTAGCTGTCATCACGTACTAATGAGAGTCAGTGTAGCCACAGAAAAAGGCTTAGGAAAGTAACACCCTGATGGTGATGCTGCAAGTCAGGTTTAAAACTGGAAGCATGGGCCGGGCGCGGTGGCTCAAGCCTGTAATCCCAGCACTTTGGGAGGCCGAGACGGGCGGATCACGAGTTCAGGAGATCGAGACCATCCTGGCTAACACGGTGAAACCCCGTCTCTACTAAAATACAAAAAAAATTAGCCGGGCGAGGTGGCGGGCGCCTGTACTCCCAGCTACTCGGGAGGCTGAGGCAGGAGAATGGCGTGAACCCGGGAGGCGGGGCTTGCAGTGAGCTGAGATCCGGCCATTGCACTCCAGCCTGGGCAACAGAGCTAGACTCCGTCTCAAAAAAAAAAAAAAAAAAAAAAAACTGGAAGCATGGCAGTGCTGGTCCAGTGTCTAAGGCCGATGGATATATTGCCTGGAGTCTAAAGCCCACCAGAGGAAAGGGGTTTTTGTGAGCTGCTAGTCATTAATAGGACGCTAAGTTTTTCTTATTTTTTTTAACTTTTTTATTTCTATAAGCTATTGGGAAACAGGTGGTGTTTGGTTACATGAGTAAGTTCTTTAGTGGTGATTTATGAGATTTGCACCCATCACCCAAGCAGTATACACTGTACCCAATTTGTAGTCTTTTATAGGATACACATTTGTTCTAAATAAGTAGAATCCTTTCAGATAGAAACCTTACCTAGAATATCAATATTTAAGCATGTAAGAGTCAAATCACACTGTCCAAAGAGGGGAGAAGGGCTTGGAGGTGAGGAAGGAAACACAGGGCTCAAAGAAAAAAAAAAAAACAGTTGATTCAGAAAATAATCAAAAGAAACTATTTTAGTTTTATAATTCTGATTAATGAAAAACTAAGCAACATATAAATATATACTTGTTTTTAATTACACAGTATTTATATATACAAATATATATTTATATATCACACATGTATTTATACATAAATATATTAAAATTATACATATATACATATGGATAATTTATATACAATATATATGTAACATATATAAACATATAAAACCCATAAAAGGCTAGTTCAGGAAATAGACATTTTTCATCTAGTGATAAATATCAAAAACCTAAAAATATTATAGAAAATAATCCACCTCCTAGAATTTTATCATAAGGAAATAGTCCTAAATAATGGGAGAGAAGGGTATAGGAAAAATTATATGTGTGGTCATACTATTTTATTTCCAAATAGTGGTCCTATTCCAAAACTGGAAACAACTTCAATATCCAATAATGGAGAAATGATTAAATAAATTTTAGCATACCATTTCGTGGAATATCACTCAATCACTTAAAACACATCTATAATGAACTTGTAACAGCCTGGATAAGAAATGTAAGAGTAATTATTTGAAAAAGAGAAGGAGACCAGGTGTGGTGGCTCACGCCTGTAATCCCAGCACTTTGGGAGGCCGAGACGGGCGGATCACGAGGTCAGGAGATCGAGACCATCCTGGCTAACACGGTGAAATACAAAAAAATTATTCTCTACTGAAAATACAAAAAAATTAGCTGGGCATGGTGGCACACGCCTGTAATCCCAGCTACTCAGGAGGCTGAGGCAGGAGAATCGCTTGAATCCAGCAGGTGGAGGTTGCAGTGAGCCAAGATTATGCCACTGCACTCCAGCCTGAGCGTTAGAGCGAGACTCCATCTCAAAAAAGAAAAACAAAAGAGAGAGGAGGTTATAAAATCTGGCATGCTTATATGTTTTAAAAAAGTCTCTCATTGAAAAACAAACCATACTTAGTGAAAAAATGCAAAGAAAATTTATCAAATTGTAACAGCCATCTTAGCTGCTAAGATTATGAGGTTTGTTTTCACTGTAACTGTGTATTTCAAATTTTCTATAAGGATTGTGTAGGATATTTAGAATTGTAAAAAATTAATCATTTAATTTACAGAGGAAAAGGAAAACCAGAAATACAAAGTTTAGCCAATTTTAAAAATCACATAAACACAGAATTTTTTTAAAACACAGAAGAAAAATAAAGTAGCTTTTCAAAATCTACTTCAGCACTTTTACACTGTAGATCTGCTGTCTGCAGCAAATGCAACTTAAAGTAATTCACCAACAGATGTCACTGTTACACTTCCTACTTTAACCATCTCTCTCGAGACGCACAAATTTACGTAGGGAAACAAAATCAAAACCTTTACTAATTCTCATGCCATCTCCCGCAGGACTGCAGCTTTCTCACCTTTCAGCTTCATTTCTAAACCTCCTTTTGTGATACCTGAAATGCTGAATGCTGTTCTAAAATGACATGCGGTGACCATGGTTTTATGGTTATGAAAAACACAGGGTTCTCCTGCTCTTTGAATGACACCCATGTGAACATCACAGATTTAACCTACACTCGTCAAATACATGGTTCCAGGTCTGAAAGTAATGAGTTGGGGAACACAAGATTGTCAACAGGCATTAAAGTTAGTGGTTAAAAAAAAGAAAAAGTGCTTCTTAGATTTTTGGTGGCTCACCTCATCTGTGACAGGGAACTGGATGGGTAAAGAGGGATTGCAGAGAATCACAATAATCTGGTCAATCCTATCAGGCCATCTAAATGTGGAAGTAGCTGAATCCCAGCCCAGTGCTTTCTGAGGAGGAGTCAATACTTCTGCGTCAATGAAAACAAGAATGAATAAGAAAGGAGAAGGCACCTGGATGTATGGCTCATGCCTGTAATCCAGCACTTTGGGCGGCTGAAAGAGGGAACATTTTCAAGTCAAGAGTTTGAGACCAGCCTGGCCAATATGGTAAAACCCCATCTCTACTAAAAATACAAAAATTAGCTGGGTGTGGCGGCTCACGCCTGTAAGCCCAGCTACTCAGGAGGCTGAGGTGGGGGATTGCTTGAACCCGGGAGGCAGAGGTTGCAACAAGCCAAGATCGTGCCACTGCACTCCAGCCTGAGCAACAGAGCAAGACTCCATCTCAAAAAAACAAAGCAAAACAAAACAACAACAAAAACAAACAAACAAAAACAGAGAAGGCTAATTTTTTTGAACTAAAAGTAGATCTATCATTTGATTCAGCAATCCCACTACTGGGTATCTACCCAGAGGAAAAGAAGTCATTATATAAGAAAAGATATTTGCACATGCATGTTTATTAGCAGCACAATTTGCAAAAATATGGAACCAGCCCAAATCCCCATCAATCAATGAGTGGATAAAGAAAATGTAGTATGTATGTGTGTGCGTGTGTGTATATATATGTGTATATATGTGTGTATATGTATATACATATTGTGTATGTGTGTGTATATATGTATATACATATTGTGTATGTATATATGTGTGTATACATACACACACACACACATATATATACACATATACCATGGAATACTACTCAGCCATAGAAAGGAATGAAATAATGCCATTCGCAGAAAGTTGGGTAAAATTGCAGACTATTATTCTAAGTGAAGTAACTCAGGAATGGAAAACCAAACATTATATGTTCTCACTAGTAAGTGGGAGCTAACCTATGAGGATGCAAAGGCATCACAATGATACAGTGGACTTTGGGGACTTGTGGGAAAGGGTCGGGGAACACGAAGGATAAAAGACTACACATTGGGTACAGTGTACAGTGCTCAGATGATGGGTGCACCAAAATCTCAGTAATCCCCACTAAAGAACTTACTCATGTAACCAAACACCACCTGTTCCCCAAAAACCTATTGAAATAAAAAAAATTAATTAAAAAGAAAACCGCAGAGAGGTTATTAAAAGTGAACAAAAATTTAAAAAAAGAGAAAGGAGAAAGTTATGTTTTTTAAATGCATCATCCTATATTCTGCAGATTTTCTGCCAACCTATCTACCTGTTACTTGAGCAGCTGGGGAGAAAGGTTCATGAATATGGAAGGCAGGCAGGGTACTTGGATTTCTTTTTTTTTTTTTTTTGAGACGGAGTCTCGCTCTGCCGCCCAGGCTGGAGTGCAGTGGCCGGATCTCAGCTCACTGCAAGCTCCGCCTCCTGGGTGTACGCCATTCTCCTGCCTCAGCCTCCCGAGTAGCTGGGACTACAGGCGCCCGCCACCTTGCCCAGCTAGTTTTTTGTATTTTTAGTAGAGACGGGGTTTCACTGTGTTAGCCAAGATGGTCTCGATCTCCTGACCTCGTGATCCGCCCGTCTCGGCCTCCCAAAGTGCTGGGATTACAGGCTTGAGCCACCGCGCCTGGCCCTGGTACTTGGATTTCACTTGAGAATCCAGAGCATATCAGTTGGCTTACCTATGTTATTCACAAATTTTTAGTAAAAGGATATTACGTAGTGACTCGCAACCAGTGGGTACTCCCACAATGAGATTTAGGCTGCAAAGCTAATGAACAGAGTGCTCTGAAAACACTCAGATAAATGACAAACACAGTCACTCCTAGACAAGTTGCTAGTTACTTTCTAGTGTACAAATTTCAGATCACCAAGCTGCATCTTGATTTTCTGCAGCCCACTGATTTTTTTAAACAATGATTCATACATTAAATGCAGCTTTATATACACAATTTACATTAAATACATATTAAAGGAGCCTCTGTTGACCACAAAGAACCACAGCACAATCACAAAGATTTCTACTTACATGGAGATCCAAGTACAATTCACTTCTGTTTGACTTCTCCCTTTCCTCATGAAGCAAAAATGGACAGGCTGGTCCTGCTCTGTAGCCCAGAACCCACGCGCCTCCATCTCTGTTGGGAAGGTCTTTAGGTGTCTGCTCATTGAAGCCGTCCCAGGGAAAGCCCTCAGAGGAGATACCTAAAACAGACACAGAGAAGGCCATCAAGTGACATGGCAGCCAAATAAATAAATAAATAAATAAATAAAGACGTATTGGGGGAACTCCTACGTAGACTTCTTCATACTAGCTCTTACTTTGCTTTCTAAGTTATATTTTTAAGAGATTGCTTTCCTTCAAAAGTATTTCTCCCTACAATTTCTAGATCACACCAACAAAAAATTACAACATATGCCCTCATCCCCAGTTTGAAAAGATAAGTCTACTGACTGTACTCTATGCCCCATATTCTTGATTACAGGTTGCATACTGGTCATTCTATCTCATAATGAAATCAGAGGAGCTGGGGGACAGAAGTCAGGAGGTCTGGCCTGTGGCTTCCCTACAGTTCCTAAACAGTGTCGTCTGAGCCAAGTCACTAATGTGTGTGTTCTCCAGGGCAGGAATGGTGCCTTGTTCGTTTCTGGGAATAGAATCATTATGCATGGTGCATATGGGACTTGGTCAATTTGTTGAATGAGTGAGTAGTGCATGAGAAACCTATTTGGGATTCACTTTTGTCATCTCTAGAATCAAAGGTATTAGTCTAGCTTATTCTAACCTAAACTGGAGGCAAGTAATAATGGGATAATAATCATTAACTATGTGCCAGACACTGTTTTCAGCTCTGTCCAATTTTTATGACAACATATAGTTAGGTATCATTTTCTCATTTTAAATGGAGAAACTGAAATACAAAGAAGTTAAGCAATTTGCTTACAATCATAAAATCAGTAAATGGTTAAGCTAGGACTTGAACCCGGGCAGTTAAACAATAGAGGGTCGTGCTTTTAATGACTACACTACGGCCTCTGCCTGACATTCTGTTCTCAAAATAGCAATATGTGTTCGACAACAAAAGGACTTTACGGTCAAATCAGTGAGAAAAGCTACATGCTGTATCTCTTAAAGAACCATGATTCGTGTTAGCGTATTAAAGACCTTGGGATGTCCTTTAGTACAGAAAACCTAATTCTATATCATAGGGTTTTCCAAACTTATTTGGCCACAGAATCCATTTAAAGGACACCTGCTAAACGTGTCGCAAGCCACTTAATGTTGTACTGGAACATAGTTTGGAAAACACCAGATTAGATCACTTCTAATGTTTCACATAGCACTCAAGTTCCTAGTCCTCTTTTAATTCCTGGTAAGCAAACTTGGCAAAATTTTAAGCAACTAGGCAGAAGTTAAAGGTTTAGGCTCAGGGTGTTTTGCAATAGAGATCACTGTTGAATATATGATAGCGTGTTTATTACACATAATCCCTGTAAGAGTCTGTTTGGCAGTCACCCAAAGCCAACCAGTGGCTTCTACCATGCTGAAACCTGACTTACACGAAACTAGAGCTGAGAGTAAGTCAGCTCACAAAGGAACTGCGGGATAGCATGGTTGTGTTAGAGTAGCATTTTAGAAGAAAAAAAAAAAATGAAAACAGCTAAGGTCTGGCTGTTGTTTGCCTGTTGGGTTTATTAGTTTTCAATCACAATTCAAAGTGAAAGATGATGCAGGTCACAGTGTGTCTACAGTTACCCTGTAGCAGGCTGTCCACAAAACACCTTTCTGCAGCCACTGAGAAAAAATGAGAGCCCAGGGCTTCCCCAGTCTCTGCTCATCCCTGCAGACACAGTTGTCTAGAAGAGTATACCCTAGGCTGTTCCTTGATCTGGGCCAGATGCCTTAGAACAAGTGCCTTTCCAGTCAATCCCCTTGCTACCCACTGTCTACAGACAGTCTTCTGGGCTTTCATTTAGAGTCTCATGTGCTTTGGAGTGACCCACTTCTAGTCTCAAGACAGAGGAATGAACTAATGCCTAAAGGAACCTCAGGGAGAAGGCACTCTGCTTAGTACCTTTGCTTTATGCTCATGTTGACTCTGAGGAAGACAGTACTGGTTATACTGTAACAGATGAAGAAATTAAAGCTCAGACCTCCTTTAACTTCTATTTATATGGCTCATCCTCCTCCTGGACTATTTCTGTTCACCTTTGTCATAAATCTTTTAAGATTTACAGTATACTCTCACTGTACTACCTCATCTTCAAAGATGTATTGGTTACTCATCACATCCCTCATTTTAAATCCCTCAACCTTGCATTTTTCTTTTGAAGTAGCTGCTGGCTTTGGGGAAACGTTGCACAGAATAATAAAACAATATAAAACATAATATATATTATATATCACAAAACACAATGTACAACACCTGAGGTAAGACATCTGTATCATCGGAGGCACATTGTCTGGTGAGTGTAAGTTCATCATTTAGGTACAAGAGAGAGTGAAACATTCTCATAATAACAAGGATTTGGGGTCTTGGATGAAACACACATGCGTGCATATTTATGCAAACACACATGCCAACCCCTCACACACTTGCAGTGGCTATCCAATACTGCATGAATGAGGTGAGGTGTGCAATCCAATTCACTCTCTATGCAGAGGGAAAACAATGTCAAGGTGAAAGTTGTCTTCTTTCTGAAAATGGTTTTAGTTTTAAAGAGTTAATTTCTAATACCTAAGGTTTAACCAGACAATATCCCTATGAAGGAAACATGCAAGGTAAAACCATGATGCATAATAATTTTGGCAAGAATCATTTGGACAGAAAAGGACCATAAGTAACATAAAACTGAAATAAGTAACATAAAACTGTTATTCTCAAAAGTCTGACAAAGGAGGTTACGACAAATGACAAAGTCAACATTCTGACGACTATAACGTATTTATAAAATAATTTTGGAGTGGAGAGTTTTAACGACACAAACACAACTTTTTTAGTCAAAAATAAAGCACACGTCTGTATTTATTAAAATGGGTAACACCCAAACTAGTCTCTCCAGTTGAATACTTTTAATGAAAAAGAGAAGAAAATCATCTGAAATTAGATAAATATATTCTGTCAAAACAGTCAGCTGTCATTTAATTTTCTGATACAAACAGATTTGGGGGTGTTAGATCTTTAGAGAATATTTTGTGAAAAACTCAATCGGTCTTATCAGTTTAAACATGTGTCTTTCCCTTTCATGTGCACATTACAAACCTGTCTTGTACTCAATATTTTGTTTCTCAAAGACATTTCAACAGCTTGATCGACCACACACACACACACAGGTTATCTGTACAGCTGACCACGGTTAATACAACGTACAGCACAGTCACAGGAAAGGTAGCGTGACTTACCTTGGAACCACTTTGGAAGTCTGTGCTTTTCAAAACCATTCACATGACGAGCTGCACTTCCTGATGCTAACCTACAACATCAGACTGAGGTTTTGCTGTCAATTATCAAAACAACAGAAGCAGACAGAATGGAAAGGTAGTAATATGCCATTTAAAACAGGAGGCAGTGTCCACAGCTCATCTTTCCAAAATGGGATCAGTCTGTCTAGCAGGGGTACACTGGATTATGGTTCCCACTGTTTCACTCCCTCCCTGCAATATGATCACGCACTCACGGCCTTTTCTGATATATTTCCCCTGCCACATGACTTGCTTTGGTCAGCTGAATGTAAACAATGTGACAGTGTGCCAATTCTGGGCCAAGGCCTTGAGACACACGGTGTGTTTTCATGCCCCGCCTTGTGCTTCTGCCCTCACCATGAGACGAACACGGTCCTCGGGAGCTTTGAATGAGACATGGAACGTCTGACCCAGGCACAGTCCTGCAAGCCTGGAGCCAAGCTCAGTCAAACCCAGGCCCAATCGAGTGAACCTTAGCCAACTCCCAGGCCAGTGCATAAAAACGATAAATATTTATTATAAACCATTGAGATTTGGGACCTCTCTGTTGAAATAGTTGCCTCACACACTATCATGTCTGCTCCTGCTAGAAACACTGTAATTATTAAAGACATTAAACCTTTTCAGCTAAGGGCGTAAACACGACAGTGTTTTTATTTTGTAATTTGTACTGAAAAGAATTATTCAACGTACTGCAAGGATTTGAAAAATGAAGTGAAAACTCATGGCACACCCATTTACTCATTCATACCAAGATTCATGCACAAACTACACTTTATTAAAAAGTTAACCTTATTTACCAGACATTGTCTTTAATCATCTAAAGAATATACATATAAAAATATACCAATTTCCTAAAGGAAGTCTGTGAACATACTATGTAACCAGCAGATCTGGCCAAAAGTCCCCAAGGGACAAAATTACAGTGCCTTTTAGGTTGTTTCCTCTAATTCTCCCATCACACCAAGCCCTCACTTGACAGCAGTGATGAAGTGGTCATGCATCCAAAAAGATGAGAGAAAAAACGAAAACCCTAAGCTTAAAACTCTCCTGAGTTTTGGCTCCCGTGCTATAGTGCCCAAGGCCATTCATCATACTTGACGTAAAATAAACCCTACAAGGTGAAGTTTTCTCAGCTGGGAATATCAGAACTGATATGTGCAGGTGGACAGGTTGTCTTCCATTATGTTATTCAAACGTGTACTTACAAGCAAGAAAGACAGCAACCTAGACGTGTAGCTAATGGAAAGTGACACTGCTAAGTTCTTGGAGAGTGGGTGTGTGGCTGTGTATGTAATCATCATGTCTATATCTAGGAAGAGAGAGGTGTGGCAAGAGTATAGTCTCATGGCTGCTACCTGTCAATTAGAGATCAATGCTCACTAATGCGACTGCCCCCCTTTTCATTCTCAGCAGTGTTAAATGTCACAATGTCACCAAACCAGCTAGTAGATAAAATTCTGAGGAGGTGTGGTATCTGTCCACCCCAGCCTCTAACGCCTCACTGGAAGTGTGTGGGGAGAGAAATGATGAATGAGCAAAGATGGACAGGTGGAAGGTGTGGCTAGTCAGAGAAAGGCAGACGGCAAATCAAAAGCTAGCAGAGAGTGGGGAGCAAGCTCTGTCAGTCTGAGCATCGATGAGGAAAGCATCCACGGCCATCAAGCAACTGCAATGCAGTTTGCATTTCCAAAATCATGCCTAAATTCAAATAAAACAAAATTTACAGTTGGAAGGAATC